GGGACCGGCAACGGGATTGCAACCCTCGGTGCTGCTCCCGTGCCTCGCTCAGCCAGTGAGCGGGAACCGGTCCGTATGTGGGATCCGAACCCTCGGGCGGGAGCGCCACCGCGCTTCCCAAGCAGCGCACTATCCAGTGCGCCACCGGGCCGGCCCCGTTGATGCTTTTTTAAAGATTGATTTAACTGTTCTTTTTTCCAGGACCAAGCCATATGTCATTCTACGTTCGAGCCCACAAAGGGTCAACACTTTCTCAGTGGTCTCTTGGCAATGGCACCCCAGTCACAAGTAAAGGAGGGGACTACTTTGTATTTTACTCCCATGGACTCCAGGCCTCTGCATGGCAGTTCTGGATAGAAGTGCAGGTGGGAATTTCCCAGTTTTGCCATTTCATTGATCAGGTTCCCAGGTGGTATTTAGCAAGAACCAGGTGGTATTCTGGCTTCAGAGAATTATAGAACTAATAAATTTTCTCTGGCAGGTCTCAGGAGAACAGCGTGAAGGAATGCTCACTGTGGCCATTGCCGCCCACTATCTGTCTGGGGAAGACAAGCTATCCTCCCAACTGGATGCTCTGAAGGAGAAGTTACCAGATTGGACATTTCCCTCTGCCTGGGTGTGCACCTATAATGTCTTTGTGTTTTACTGAAGGAATGCTCACTGTGGCCATTGCCGCCCACTATCTGTCTGGGGAAGACAAGCTATCCTCCCAACTGGATGCTCTGAAGGAAAAGTTACCAGATTGGACATTTCCCTCTGCCTGGGTGTGCACCTATAATGTCTTTGTGTTTTAATCTTGAGGATGAGCTCTAAGTACATGCCTAGTGGATACTCCACGTGATATGGTTTCTCCCTGTTATGTGGACATTTGTAACGTAAGTCAGTGAATTTTAATGAGCATATGTTCAAACAGCTTTTTGGGTTAACACTCTTCAGGGCCAAGGACTGTAAGTGTTAAGCTGCAGGACAGTGATGCATGGCCTTTTTGACACTTGAAAATGCCAGTTTTGTGGCACTTACACATATCTGGGTACTGCCACTACACACCCTTCATTTTATATGACCTTAAGGACAGAAGCCAACAAACCACTTTAATAGCTGTCCTTCTAGGGTCATGAAAGATGTAGACTGTCAGACCATTGCTAATGACACAAAAGTCATTTCCAATTAAAGCCCAAGACCATTTATTGTGTCAGTGGATAAGAGGTACAGTATCATTCACTGGGGTAATGATTCCCCTTGAGATCTACTCTGTCATTGGAAGGTAGTTGCCATAAGGACTGGGGAAGAGGCACTCACTGGGCCTTTTAGGCCCCAGCCTGTGCTGAGAGCTGTGTTTCTTCAGGCAGCCTCTTGGAGAGCTTTCAGAGTTCTGTCTTTGTACTGAAGCCTGGATGTGGAGCCCTGTGTGGAGCTGGTGACTCACTGTCCTGACAGGCGGTCACTCAGATCCATTGCTGTGCTTTCTTGAGATGGCTTTTAATGCCTGTTTTTCTCTGAAACATATCTGTTCCCCCTTTCCACCTTACCAATTTGAGAAGGGGGAACATTTGTCTAGCTACATTTCCCTCTGGGTTTTCACAGGTTCTTTTGGTTCAGAATATTTTTTGTGCAAGTACAGGACCTTAACTTCCTTCCTCAGAGCACTGACTTGGTGGTAGGGTTGGGTATGGTGGGCATTTTATAAATATTTATTTTCTTCTCTTCCTTTCATAGGAGTCTTTTGATACAAGGCTAATTCTTTAGGACACAGTCTTATTGATGCATTAGGTCTTCCTTTTTGTTTTCCAGCCAGTTGAATAGGTTAGTTTCTCCGTAACTTACTGTCCAGCGGGGCTGGCTTTCCCAAGACTTGAGATTGTAGCATGTACTAGAATGAGACCACTGTACCTGTTGGTGCATAACAGCAGTACTAGGACTTAAAGGAGCTTTTCATTTTGAAGACGGGCATGTTATCTTGTGAGGCATATCATAGCAGCACTTCTCACAGCTTTTTTGTTCCAGCAGTGAGAGGGTTTGGTGAGATCAGTGGTAAACTATGCTTTCTTTTTTCTGTTAGGAAATGTAAACAATTGGACAAATTTGGAATTTAGCAAGCATACAAAAAAAGTTGAAAGAAAAGCCAAAGTAAAAAAAAAAAGCTAAGACTTTTCTCAGGTGATGGGGGAGTAAGAGGAATGCTTCTCAAAAAGTGGTCCTCAGATCTGTCTGAATAGAAAGAACACAGTAAGTGTTCAAGGAGGAAACTTCCTTGAAGGTCTTGTGCAGTGTATATGATATGCTTTCTTAATCATGTTCCTCATACTACTTGCATGATCTGTGGCTCCTAAAACCGAACTGGGCCAACACAGACAGCAGGGCCGCTGCCGGAGCTGAATGATAATGTGTTGGCTGTCACATGCATTGACACTGCACATTGGAGTCAGTGCTTTTCCTAGACTTTGCAGAAATCAGTCTCTAGTGCTTCCAGTGTCTGGTTCCTGCTACATTTATCTGTCAGGTAGTACATAAGGTCTGCAGGATTTATAGCTTGTATAGACTCAGTTATGCAGAAAAAGTAATATCTTAATGAATTTCAAAACACAAGCATATTTTCTGTCCTTGTGGTTAATCTAAAATAGATTACTAGAACACCTTGTTTCCTGTGATTTTTTTTTTTTTTCCCCACCTGTGGGAAGGATGCTGTTAACTCCTTTTGGTAATAATTACATGGTTGTTTCTTTTGCCTTTGGGTTATTTCCCTTATGCAAACAATTCTCTTTTGGTTTTCTTTAGCATTATATGAAGCTTTAATATTGTCAGTAAGTAAAAAGATGCTCACTAGTTTCAGGGCATGCTTAATATTCTGGAAGGTTGTTTTAATGCCAGACACAGTATTCATGGCTCTGTTAATAAGCACACTGTGTCACATCGTCAGTAGCTTCTGAGATTAAACTTATCCGTTTCCAAAAGAGTCTTTTCAAGCTCTAACCAAAAGCATTATTTTCTACATAATTTAAAGTAGCACAGTATTTTAGAGGAAATACTGCTTATTTAGGGAAAGTGTGAAGAATTGTCATTTTAAAGTAAAGTATCTCTTTCTTATATCTGACCTAAGAATGATTGATTGTTGCATGAAGTGTTTCTGTTTCCATAGTTTAGCTGATATAAATAACCATCAAAGGAGATTCCTTAAGATGTTACCACTGATGGGGCCACCAGCCGGCCTGCTGACTCAGGGAGCTATAGGAAGAAGGGCTGTTTGTCCATTTCTTCTTGCTGACTTGTTGAGGATTAATTATTGCCTTACAATGTTACCAAAATAAACTTCAACCTGCTGGTTGGTATCTTTTTACCAGAAGATTGCTATGTTTTCCTGTATCCCCATATATCAAGGGTTATTTCATGTCCACAGAGCCTTTTAATTATTGTTAAAAGACCTAGATGGCTCATGTGGGTATAATTGCTATTTTGATGGGTGATGTAAGCAAAACTCAATATGGAAATGTTAGTTTACTTCAGTTGAAATCCTTTTTTGCCTTGGAATGAAATGGTGCATCTGAATTTCATGGAAATGACCTAGTTGGTAAACACTGAGCTACAGCATATTTAGGAGTTTTAAATAATTTCAATCCCCACCCCCCCAAAAAAAATTACCAAAGGGCTAATAGAGAAGAGTATTATTTTATTAGGGGGTTACTGGTAGTCGGGAGGGAAGAAGAAATTGCTTTTCAGCCAGAATGACCCACTGCTTATTCTAATCTCCACACAAGGAAAGGGCACCACCACTCAACCAGAATAGAGCATGTACCTGTAAGTTCAAAGACCTCTGTGCAAGTTAGTCAGCCTTCTGAATGAATTCCTTTCTACTGTCCATTCAGTACAAAAACAAGCAGCTGAACAAGTTCTCTAATTTGGCCCTGCACCATGACCAAGTGTGATCAATCCTGGGATGGCAAGGTTGGTTTAATATTTGAAAATCAATTAATAAACCACATTATAACAATAAAGGACAAAAACATCTCAACATCTGCAAAAAATTTTTTTTGACAAAATCTAAAATGCTTCCATAATAAAAACACTCAGCAAACTAAGAATGGATAAAGATCAATGAAAAATCCACAGCTAACACCACACTTCATGATAAAAGATAGAAAGCTTTCCCCCTAAGATCAGGAAGAAGGCAAGGATGTCCACTACTGCCACTTTATACAATATTGTACTGGTGGCTCTAGCCAGGACAATTTGGCAAGAGAAAGAAAAGGCATCCAGATCGCAAGGAAGAGTTAAACTACCTCTAGTCATAAACAACGTGATTGTCAATATAGAAGATCCTAAGGAATCCACAGAAAATTATTACATTTAATAAATGAACGCAGTATTCCATGATCCAATATCAATATATAGAAATCAGTTGTATTTCTATAAACAACTTGAAAATGAAATTAACAATTCCATTTGCAGTAGCATCATCAAGAAAATACTCAATAAAATGCTTAGGAGTAAGTTTAGCAAAACAAGACTTTTTACACTGAAAACTACAAAATATTGCTGAAAGAAATTAAAGATGACCTAAATAAATAGAAAGACATCTCAGGTGCATGGTTTGGAAGGCTTAATATTAAGATGGCAAAATTCTCCAAATTGATTTACAGAGGGAACACAACCCCTATCAAAATCTCAGCTGTCTTTTTTTTTAGTATAGAAATTGACAAGCAGATCCTAAAATTTATATGAAAATGCAAGGGACCCAGAACAATCAAGACAACCTTAAAAAAACAAATTTAGGACTCACACGTTCAAAATATCCTACAAAGCAAAAAAAAAAAAAAAAAAAAAAAAAAAAAAAAAAAAATCCTACAAAGCAACAATAATCAAGACAGTGTGGCACGGGCATAAGGATAGACATGTAGATCATTGTAATACAGCTGGGGCGGGCAGAAATAAACCCATACATTTAGTTAATTGATTTTTGATGACTCATTGAGAAAAATAATCTTTTCAATAAATGGTGCTTGGACAATTCAATATTCACATACAAAAGAATGAAGTTAGACCCCTATTTCATACCACATACAAAAAAATTACTCAAAATGGATCACAGACTTAAATGTAGGAGCTAAAACTATAAAACTTATTAGAAAACACAGGCATAAATTTCCCTAACCTAGGATTAAGCAGTGTTTTCTTAGCTAAAACACCAAAAAGCACAAGCAACCAAAGAAAGAAGCTGGACTTCATCAAAATGAAAAATGTTTCAAAGAACACATAAAATGTTAAAGACATGCTTACAGAATGAGGAAATTTTGGAAATCATGTATCTAAGGGTCTAGTATTCAGAATATATAAAAAGAACTCTTGCAGATCAACAAAAAGATAAATGACTCAATTGAAAATGGGCAAAGGATGAGAATCTTCAGAGCTATACAAATGACTAACAGTCATATGAAAAGGTATACATTAGCCATTAGGTAAATGAGAATCTAAACTTGGAGGACTATTACCAAAAATACAGAATGATAAGTGTTATTGGCAGAAATTGGAATCTTCAACCACTGCTAGTGAATATGGTTTGGCATTTCCTTAAAAAATTAACCAGTTACCATATGACCAAGCAGTTTCACTCCTAGATAGAACTGAAAACATATGATACGCACAGAAACGTGTTTGTGGAAGGTTCATGGAGGTGGTAGCCAAAAAGTGGGAAAAACCCAAATGACCCTCAACTGCTGAATGGATAAACAAATGATATATCTGCAGAATGGAGTAGTATTTGACCTTAAAAAGGAATGAAGTAGTGACACTCATACACAGGGATGAACCTTGACAATATCATGCCAAGTAAAAGAAACCAGACAGGAAGTCCACACAGTATATGATTCCATTTATACGAAATGTCCAGAATAAGCAAATTCATAGAGACAGAAAGCAGATTTAGGAAGACAGGCAAGAATCAAAATCATTTTTAATCCCACCTATTAGAGATGATATGATGCCACATACTTAACATATAAAATTTTGTTTGCTTGGTGGAGATTGTATGATATACATAATTTTGTCATTTCATTATATTTTGAACATTTTCTACGTCATCAACAGGGATTGTTTCTTCCAATATTCTATTGTCAGGCATTTAGTTTGATGCCAACTCTTGATGCTGTCATTCTAACTCTATATATAAATAAATATTTTAAGTAAAACTGTCTGAAGTTCTAGTTATTTCATAAGGAAAACTCTAAGAGGTGGAATTATATAATGAAAAGAATATTTTTTGTGGATTTTAATACACTTTTTGCTGTTAACTTGAGATGATTAATAAACAGAAATGTGTGTAATGGTTTTATTGCCCTTTACCAAGTTAAAAAAATACACATTACAGAAGTAGCAGCAACTTTAATTACAAGCAAAGGTTGACTCTTCCCCCCCAAGTGACTTGTTTTTGGTATCAGCAAATAACTTAAATGTATATAGTAAACTTCAAACAGTTATACTCAATATTTAAATTCACTGGTTAAAATTATGGCTTTAACAGTTGATATGTGAACCAAACAACATGACAAAATGAGTTCTTTGAAATTAAAATATATAACAAAGAAATTATCAAAGAGAAATTTTTTGTAAACTTGCCAAATTTTCTTGCCTCAGGGCCTCTTATTTCTATTAGTTAAAAAACGAATATTTTATAGAAGAAAAGATTCATTCATGGCCTAAGCCACAAAAATACAGTTAACATATTGGTGTCCTGCTTTCAAAAGTGTGAGATGAACTCAGCAGCACAGTCTTTTATTTAGGATTTTGAAAAGATCACAGCTGTTTATAATGGTAAATCATTTTTATTGATTGAATATTCACACCAAACACACCAAACACAAAAATAATGCTGGTTCTTCTCCCTGATAGACTAGAATAGGAGAAGAAATTTCAGTCTAGTTTCTTACTGGGCTGCACGTACTCATGTGGAAAATATTTTCTATCTGAAGATTCAGGGAAAGGTGGTTTGAAATAAAGACTTAAATGAAAGTAGCACCAAAAGGATCAGGTACCAATTATCCACCCATTCACAAGTTTTATGTGAAATTATTGCACTTGTAAAAAGTAAATGATAAAACTCAGTAATTTTAAATAGTTTGATGAATTCTGAACTAAGCAATTTCAAAATGGTTTTCAGTCTCTCCTTCAAAGGAAACCTGGCTAAGACAACCAAATCTAGCCATTTACGTTAAAAAGCAAGGAAAGAGGACCAGTTTTGTTTCTAAACTATGATTGCACTATAAGAGAGGCTGTTTTATATAGGGGTACAAATTTGGTCCACATCAAATACATTATTATAAAAATAAACAAGTTTGTTTTTGTAAAAAATAACCTTGCATTCCTTGTTCAAATTGCACAGTACAAACAAGCTATCTAAATTAATACTGTTATAAAGTAATTAGAATTACATACAGTGGATATATATGTTTAGTCTCAAGCTATTAGAAGTATGCAGTTCTGTTTTCATAATGTATGAAAACTAAAATTTAAGTCATATCTAGAAATACATAACATTTTAAAGTTTACAATGAAGAATGCATTCTTTACATACTAATTTTTAGTAACCATGATAATACAGGATTCAGCAGTCTATTTAAATAAAAGTCCATTTTTATTCAGTTTATAAAAGCAATAAATAAGAAACTACATTAATTTGCACAAAACCTGTTCCATTTCATGATCAGTGTGACCATTTCATGTCCAAGCCAATAAATCTGTCTTCCTTTATGAAGACTGTTCATTTTGGGAAAGAAGAGCAAGCTCTGTCTTTATTCTAAGTGTATCTAAAGTCATGCAGAATCCTGCATAAAACCTTACAAATTATTATACAAGTCCTAAAAATATGAACAGTGCCTTTGAGTATATTTACACAAGAGTATTCACAAAAAGATACAGTTGTTTGATAAAAAATAGTTTAGTGGTATCTAACAGCATAATTGATAAGAACCCCTCAGACTTATGTCCACGTTGATCTAGTAGGAATCAAGCTTGCCAACAGGCACATTAGCTCACAGGTAAATAGCTTTTGTCAGTTCAGGACTGGGATCTAACAGGCTAGTAAAGCCAAGGAGAACGTCTCCATCATGCTGGCATCCATTCAGGAGGACTAATTAGGGAGTTCAGCAAACTCTATCCAAGGGAGCAAACAGGTAGCTCAAGTACCTGATGAGCTATAGCAAGCACCTTAGCATTTATTTAAAAAAAAATCAGTCTGGACACACACTGAACCAGAAAACATATAAGAAGCTATAAGCAGTGAAAAAGTAAGCTCACCCAGGGCAAAACCATCCCTAGAGTTTAAGAGCTGTCACCTTTGAATAAAACCAAGATATTCTCATGTACATCTGTATGATATTCTTTATTACTTTCCACTGCAGCTTAAAAATATTTTTTTATGAAAGACGTTTTATTTGATATCACATTTTTATGGAGTCAAAGATTTCTTAGAGGAGAAAAGAATTAGTTAAAATCTAGTAATACTTTACCAGAGAGTCTCTAAGCTGAGTTCTCTCCTCTGTTAAATCACCCAACTAGCATGCATACTCAGTTGCACACTGCTGGGAATTAATACTGTCCCTCCAGATTACGCCTCGTTGTTAGGACACAGAACAGTCATAAGTCCCATCCTGAAAAGGTTCCTCCTCCTCTGCTCGGATTGTGTCGTCCTCTTTCCGGCTGACCATACTGCTACCCCCAATCTCACCCTGAGGGATGTTTCCATGGCCAGAAGAGCCCCTGCTTTCCTCTGCCCGGGTGCTAGTCTGTTCAGGAGTCTTACCCACAGTTATTGGTTGGAAGGCATCAGACTGGACCTGCTCTTCTGTTATCTCACTGAGCTTCTGCAGTTGTGGTTTAATGATGTTTAAAAATGGCTTATATCCAGGGCTAAATAGAAAAAAATGAGCTCATCCATCATAATTCAAAAGGCTTGGTAGAGTGTTACAGCTAATCTCTTACTAAACAATGATACAATAAGGACAACAATAAAGGAGGTAGAGAGGACAAGTTTCCTGGGTGCCCTGCCCAACGCAGAGGGAGCTAGATGCAAACATCATAAGTGTGAGTCTTAAATTTCTGAGCACTAGGAGCAAAGACTGACATTTTAAAACTGGGATTACAATTAAAAATTATATTCTACAATTGAAGGACCAACAGGATTTTAGACTCCTAAAAGGACCTTCAGAGAACATGTAACCTAAATGCATTAGGCAATTAAGGAAAACTAGATCCAAGTAAGGAAGTAACTAGCCCTAAATCCACACATAACTGGTGACAAAGATAGGGGTATGGTACAAAGCTCTTAACTTCCACTCCCTATTCTTAATTTGGATTTCCTAGTAACTACCATGGAATGTTAAATTCACACAGACCTTAATTAATTTTTTCTTTTCAAGCAGACATTTTGAGGTCATTAACTTCAGTTCCACACAATTACAAATCTTAAGTTCCATTCTAATTCTAAGATCATTTATACTGCATCATTCTTGAGTCAGTCACATGCATTCACATTATAAATTATAAACTGACCCAACTGTAACTTTACTCAATAGATATTACACATTTAAATGGTTACTAAAGAAAGTAGCCTTAAAAATGAACACATGAAAACATGTTTTTTATTTCTACTAACCTAAAAGTACCCAAAATAAATGAACCATAACTAAGCCTTAATGTGAAATGACAGGATTCACCAAAGGACACCAAAGGATAAAAAGCCTAAGGAAACCAGCACTTACCAGTCTGTAGAGGCCCATCTGTCCACTGCATGGAGTCCTGTCTTTATGTTCTGTAACATCTCTCCATCTACCTCTGATGACTGTGTAATAACCAAAATCTGACTGATAATTGAGGATTCTCTAAGAATCAGGCCTATGACAATGCACCAGTCCAGACATCCTGCCTCCATGAAAATGTGTAGCAAATACCTATATATAAGTAGAAACAAAATGATTTATGCTAGGAAGGATCTGTAGATGTATAGAATGGCTATGATTATTAGGAAAGTAGCCCATGTGCCCTATTTGCCCAAATACCCTGAGTAAGCATTCTGTGCAGAATGCTGAGAAACTCACCGAAGCTGGACCTGGGATTTGTGAGGCCCTTTACTCGCCAACTCCATGGAGATGTGCTCTAGCTCTGACTGCGTTAAACTGAGGGTGGAGAAATTTTCATCCACCATTGTCCAGTCCCCATCCACCATGGAGCTACTTTCAGTCAGATCTGTGGCTGAACCAATACTGCATTCATCACCTGACAAAGAATTGCCAAAAGTTATAAACAAGCTTCGTGTAGAAAATATGTTTTCCTTTAATTTTAAATATTAGCTGTTTCTCAAATGTTGATTTCTCCTCAGGATTTTAATGTTTGAAACCCAAACATTAAATCCACTGCTGAAAGTGCCGTGTTATATGAGGTACTGCACATAATTCATGAAAAGATTTGTATTATCTTTTTTTTTTTTTTTTGTCTTTTGTCTTTTTTCCGTGTCCCGCAACGGATCGCAACCCTCAGTGTTGCCCCCGGACCGGACCGGGGACCGGCAACGGGATCCGGCAACGGGATCGCAAGCCTCGGCGTTGCTCCCGCGCCTCGCTCAGCCAGTGAGCGGGAACCGGTCTGCACATGGGATCCGAACCCTCGGACGGGAGCGCTGCCGCGCTTCCCAAGCGGCGCACTATCCAGTGCGCCACCGGGCCGGCCCGATTTGTATTATCTTTTAATTCTGTTTTTCCACCAAAAATATTAGGATATTTCTGAATATCCTCATATGAACGATAGCAGGTATTTAAAAATAATCTTTAGATAACCAGACATTATGTGGATGGAAAAACATACTACAACCTATGAAATAGTCTTCCCTGCTTCCTCCCAAAAAAATCTAGCTAGAATTTGATCAAGTCTTTAGAGTCAACTACCAAGTTACAGAAAATACAGAGAAAACTGTTAAACTAAACCATGAAGATGCAATCAGCAAAATCCACATTGTTGAGAAAATCCACTGAAACAAGTTTCTTCAATGAATAAATTGCAAGCGGGTGGGGGAAGACAACAATCACTTAAAAAGAGAATTAAAAATAATCCCGATGTGTGAACTTTATTTGGATCTTCACTAAGACTAAAAAAATTTATAACATTTATAAAACAACTGGAAACCTGAATACTTACTGGATATTTGATGGTATTAAGGAATTGTTACTAAATTTTTAGAGGGATGTAATGGTATTATGGTTACAATTTTTAAAAAGTGTCCTTGTAGGATACATACTGAAATTTTTACAGATAAAATATATTTCTTGGATTTGCTTCAATTAATATGGGAGGGAGTGGTTGAAACATCTGGCCATGAGTTGGTAATAATGGAAGCTGAGTGATGGATACATGGGGGGGAGGGGCCCACTATACTATTATCTCTACTTTTAAAATATATTTGAAAGTATCTCTTTAAAAAAGTTTTCTAAAACAAGTAATTGCACCACCTTGCCCCTACTGGGATGGCTACTATCAAAAAACAGAAAATAAGTGTTGACAAGGATGTGGAGAAATCAAAACCTATGTTACTATTAGTGGGAATGTAAAATGGTGCACTTGTTAAGGAAAACAGTATGGCAACTCCTCAAAAACTTACAAATAGAATTACCATATGTTCCAGCAATCCCATTTCTGGGTATATATCCAAAAGAATTGAAAATAGAATCTTGAAGAGATATTGGTATACCCATATTCATAGCAGCATTATTCACAATAGCCAAAAGGTGGAAGCAGCCCAAGTGTTCCTAGACAGGTGAATGAATGAAAAAAATGTGGTATATACATGTAATGGAATATTATTTAGCCTTGAAGAGGAAGGAAATTCTGACACATGTACACAATGGATGAACTTGAGGTATTATGTTAAGTGAAATACTCCAGTCACACAAAGACAAATACCATATGATTCCCATATATGAAGTACCTAGAGTAGTCAAATTCATATAGAAAATAGAATGGTGGTTGCCAGTGGCTGGAGTGAGGGAGGAATGGAGAGTTGTTATTATTAAATAAAATATACCCAGAGTTCTAGTTTTGTAAGATGAAAGGTGTTCCAGAGATCGACTGCACAACAATGTGGATGTAATAAACACTGCTGAACTGCATTCTTAAAAATGGTTAAGATGGTAAATTTATGTGTATTCTACCACAACTAAAAAAAAAGTAATGGCAGCTTTAAGCCTCCTCTCACAGCAGAAGTTCAGGTAACGACGACAGACTGAAAACCAAACATTAGGCGAATGCCCAGCCAATATGAAAATTGCAGAAAATCAGTCCAACTGCTGTTTAAGCTCCTACATTTTATAACCCTATACCAACATAAATTGCTTCAAAACTTCTTCAGTTTGTAATTTACCCATTTCCACAGAGCAGAAGTCAGTGCACATTTTTTTATAACGGGCCAGAGAGTAAGTATCTCAGGTTCTGAAGGCCAAGAGGCAGAATCAAGGATATTATGTAGGAACTTAAGAAAAAGAACAAATATCCACAAATTTTAATTGATGAAATAAAAAATATAATAATAATGATAGGATACAGTTTTTTATGATACAGGTCTACTTATGATAAGAATAAAATTCTTTACACGGGGATAACATTTTGCTTACTCGAGGTTCAAAGTTAGTGTTTCCTTATCAAAATCTACTACAAAGATTTATCTGTTAATGTTGATCTGTGCTGAAACTTTATCTATTTCATCTATCTAAAATAAATATGGTAAAGTATAGTCAAGGCCAATCTGCCCTTGTTCTAGTAACTGTCCACCTCTCCAACAAATACTAACGGCTAATCTTCTAGGACACTGAAAGGAAAAAGTGAAGCTCCATCTCTGAAGTGCTACAGCACATAAACTTTCTTTCAAAGGAACTGAAGAAGAGTGAGGACTTAAAATGTCACTGACCTTTATTAGATAAAGGTGACAGGAAGGCATCTTGTGTTTGTGGTCCATGGGATGAGGCTGTGTCTATTTCATGATGGGCGGGGTTAATGCTGCCAAGCCAGCTCTGACTTCGTTGGATATCAGAGATGCCAGTATCCATCTCAAGACTTAAAAAAGGGTCAGCTGATTGAGACTTTAACAGCTGCTCCCCTACTGCAGGACAGATTCATGAACAAACAACAATAAATAAATTCAAGGTGGACACACTGCCAGTTCCTGTTCCGCTCTCATAGCTTACCCCACCTGCCCACCCAATACTCACAGTTCAAAGCTAATCACTTTCCTACACCTACCATCCACCCCAAAACTAGGGACGTCGGATTGTAACAAAATGGACTGACCGTGTAACGCCATCTAACGGTCATATCTTTGTATCTTTTCCTGGAACGAGGCAAAACTTTATTCTGTTCATCTTCTAAGCGATTTACCTTGGTTCTTAAGATGACATGAAGTTTCCAATGCATAATAAAAATTTTTGTTTTAATTTGCATATAAATAAGTCTTCATGAAAGACCTGAACTAAAAAAAACTATTTTTTCTTTCACCAAAATATATAGTTTCACTTTGTCCTCTCCTAGTTTAGAAGAGGACCCAAGCTGTCAAAGATGCATTTTTACTTTTTCCCTAGAGTGAGTCCTGTAGGAAGGACACAATTCAGCTTATTCTGAGGTCCATCACTAAGTGGTTCTAAAACTCCTTCCCATAATAAGTGTGGCAGCTTTTATATTCAGCCAGTTCTCAACTTACTTATAATCTAGATAACAATGGTTAGGTTTATACATTAGACTTTAAGGTCTTAAAGCTTAGAGACACAGGTTCTACTTTATTTATACCCTTGGTTAACTGATGTTGACCAACTGAAACTATGTTTCAACTGATGTACAAAAGGTTGGCTTTTATCCACTCCTGAGTTTGCAATGAAAAGACTTCTTAAATATCAACTAACAGCAAAATGTCTAAGTACTTGGAGTAAAATATAATCTTCCTTGTGCAAGTGATGTGAAATTTATTTTACCTGTTCGGTATTTTCCATTTTTGAAAGGAGAATTGATAGAAGAGGCTGGGATGATGGGAAGTGGCCACAGGAAATCTTTGTGGAGTCTCTTCAGGGCTATCACAAAGTTGTCCACCCGGGCAGCTCGGGTACGTTCCTTGCAGAGCCAACCAATGAGTTCAAAGCCCAGCTGGGCTGCAAAGCAGCCGAGGTCCTTTAACCGCACATCTTCTAAGAGGCGCCGAGCATGTCTCCAGAGCATCATATCAATGTACATGTTCTCAGCACAGTCACTGTCTCTGCTCCATCTGTAAGTGGAAACACAACAGAGCTACAGAATGATCTTCACTGGAGGAGTTCACATACTTTTATGCAGCAGCACTGATAAAGCGGACAAGAAAAGAGATCTAAGATCTAATTCTGATTGAAGAGGAAGATAAAGCATCAGGGCTTCTCCTCTGTATTGAACACCCAGAACACAGTAGAGCACACATATTTGCAGAATGAATACATGTAAGAGGAAGAAATACGGGACAGAAGAAGTGAGACCAGGAAGAAGGGGGCAAGCGGTTGAAGGAAAGAAAGGGAGCAAATAAATGCTGTATTTGAAAAGACCAGATCAAAGAAACTAAGGATAGAGAAGCAAAGTGAAATTAAACCTCTCAATGTGAGTTACGTAGATATATGAAAATAAAACTGATTTTTAAAGATTAACGACTTGACTAAATATAGTCTATCATCCCTTACTCATATGCTGATGTGGTGTAATTTGTTTGGTGCTTGGGGAATGGTAATGCTTTTAGTGACAGGCAATATAGTGAAGGAGTAAAGAGCCTAATCTCTGGAGCAGAACTACCTGGATTCAGATACTGGCTTTGCCACTCATTAGCTGTGTGAACATAACCAAATTTACTTTTATAGGCCTTTGTTTCTTCACCTTTACAGTGATGATAACAACTCTCATACAGCTGTTGTAAGGATTAAAAGGCCTATACATGTTAATGTTTAGAACAGTTCCTAGCACATAGTAAGCACATGGTAAGTTATTAACCAATATTTTAAATTCAGGATATGGCTCAGAAGATGCTGTTTGCCTGGTTATTGTTTATACACTTCCGTGGATGCATCTACTTGTATGTGGCCCATAATATTGCTGTGCGTGTGTGTGCGTGTGCACGTGTGTGTATGGTGGGGTGGTAATGGCCAGTGATGAGAGAAAGCAATAAAGCATCACAATAAAAACTTTCAGTAATCTCTCACTATGTGCCAGGTACTGTAGTAAGAATACAAACAATATAAAAAAAGGGATTAAGGAAGAGAAAAAACAAGAGCCAAGAACATGTAAAAACACAGAAAGGAATACAAGGACATCAGAAACCAGAGGAAGTTCTAATGATTTTATAATGTTCAGTATGAGTTCAGAGTCACCTCTCAGGAGACAATAACCCATCTATGGGTGATGTAGATTTCAGTTTCCAGAACACAATTCCTTTGGCTCTCCCACTGTTTAGTGACTTTAATCAAAAGGTCAAAACCCGGGCCGGCCTGGTGGCGCACTGGAGAGTGCGCCGCTTGGGAGTGCGGCAGCGCTCCCTCCAAGGGTTCGGATCCCATGTGGAGACCGGTTCCCGCTCACTGGCTGAGCGCGGTGCGGGCGCAACACTGAGGGTTGCGATCCCGTTACCGGTCAGTAAAAAAGACAAAAAGGAATAAAAAAAAAAAAAAAAAAAAAAGGTCAAAACCCATAGAACTATACAACGCAGAGGGAAACCTAACGTAAAATGTAGTTAATAATACTGTATCAATGCTGGTTCACAACCGTTACAATGTACTACACGAATATAAGATGTTAACAGGAGAAACTGCAGGGTGGGGGTGCCTGGGGTGTGTGAACTGTCTGTACTTTCTGCTCAGTTCTTTAACCGTGAAACTGCTATAAAAACAAAGTCTATCACTTATTTTTTTTAAAAAGGTCACGGGATAGTCAAATGCATGACCATTAAAGTTTTTTTTGTCAAGAGGTATAGATGGAAAGAAGGGTAGAACTATAGACTTTAAGGCTGTTGGAGGGCTGGCCTGGTGGCGCACTCGGTAGAGTGCGGCGCTTGGGAGCGCGGTGGTGCTCCCGCCGAGGGTTCAGATCCCATATAGAGACCGGTCCGCTCACTGGTTGAGCGCGGTGCGGACGCGACACCGAGGGTTGCGATCCCATTGCCGGTTGCGATCCCATTGCCGGTCGCAAAAAAAAAAAAAAAAGAAGGCTGTTGGATTATCTGCAGATTTACCTGTCTTCCTTTTTATTCTAGTCCTCTATCATCAGAGGTCATTTGAAGTTAGTCACATTCAGAGCAGGTATATCAACATCCACTCTAGCACAGAGAGGCAAAAACTATTCAGAGAACAGAAGTAAACTTAGGAGGAAGAAAAAAGGGAAGCCTTCTGGATAGTCTTTATGCCTTTTGGGAATGGAAAAAGGAATGGCAGTTGGATTAATTGTTTCCATCAGACCTAATTTTGTAAATGCCCTGTAATACAATGTGTCAGATGCCCTAAAATCAGTAATGGCTCTTTATTCTTTTACCTTTTTCCAGAAGGACCAGATGGCATACTTAGTGTTTTCTGTAAGCTGAATTTACTAGGAGGAACATTTTCAGCTGACTGGGATAAACTGATGCTCCGATTCCTGAAGAACTCAAATCCACCACTTGAACTGGGTTCCTGTGATTACATACAATGCACAGTACAGTTAAAGAAAGATGTCATGCAGGTGAACGGCCTAAAGAAGCTATACAATTTTGAACTAACCTGAGCTGTAGGTGTGGATGGAGGTGTCTCAGATTCTCCAGAGCCAATGGCTTTAAGAAATCGAATCATGTGTCGACACAGGTCCCACTTGCCTTGTTCCAGAGCTGTGTTGAACAGCAGGGTAGCATGTTGCCTACTTACTGCTGGGACTTCCATATTCTACAAAAGCAACCAAGAAAGACAGCATTCCTTTTATACTACACGATTTGGAAATATTTGAGCAATTCTTTATCCCCACAGTTCCCTAAACCCAAGGAATGTACAAACTGCAGGGGTTAGTTTAATAGTAAGACTAAAAGGAGCAGTAAAAAGCACCATACAAGGAAAAGTGAGGCAAGCACTCTGCTGGTATAACATAAATTATGATTTACTAAACTCCCACTACAAGCCAGATACCTTACCTATACCTTAAACACATTATTTATTTCTTTCAGTGACTTTTGCAAAATAGGTTTATCATTCCTATATAACAGTTTATTTAACTCTGTTTCCTCATCTGTGAAAGATCAGCAGAAAAGCAATACAAATCTAGGTTTGCCTGACTCCAAAAAAGCTCAGGTCTCCTGTGACAAAGAGATTTGTCAGGATGTGAACATTACTGCCTGTCTTAGCCTCCATGGGAATGTGCCTAATAGACAAGTTTAATTCTAATATCTGCCAATCCATAGCAACTTAGGAATTCTGGTGGAGAAAAAATTTCCAATTCCATTGTAGGGAGATCACTTGAAGGTCTAAGGAGTGATCCAGAACAAAAAAACAGCTGCATTCTTTTTTTTTTCTTTTTAAAGTGGTTTTTTAAAAAAACTTAATGGACACATCATAGTTATACATACTTATGGGGTACAATCTGATGTTTTGATACACATATATGTTATATAATAATTGGGTTAGGGTAGATAATATATCAATCACCTCATGCATTTATCATTTCTTCATGGTGAAAACATTCAAAAGCCTCTCCTCTCGCTATTACATAATATATAAAACTTAACTGTTAATCATAGTCACCTTACTGTTCAATAGAACACTGAAACCTACTCCTCCTATCTAATTGAATTTTGTACACTTTGGCCAATCTCTCCCTGTTTTTCCTGGCCCCTTCCACCCACTCCCCTCCCCAGTCTCTGGTAACCACTGTTCTATTCTCTCTTTTGATTTTATTTTTATAATTCCATGGCTTTTTCTGTAGGGCTGGCCAAGGAATTATGGAATCTGAGGGCCACCCAGCCTCTGCCTGAATATCTCCTCTGGTTTCAGTCAGTTGTCATGAAGCAAATAAGCTGATAGGAAAATGTGCTTCAGGAAGATATTCAAACCAGGTTTATGTTTACATTCTAATATCAAGGAAAACAACTTTAGCTTATCAAATCCATATCGGACTTAAAGGAATATCAAACGATCAAGCTCTTCTATCAAATATATAATCAAACAAATATTCAGGAGTCTCAAAGAACCATTATTTTGAGAAAAATCAGCTACGAGAGGGTCATTACTATGAAAGGCATGAACCTCCTCAGCTTGCGAGGGGAGCCTAACGTAAGGTGCTCTGCTGTGACGCATTCTCTATCCAGAGTCCCCTCAGCAATTCCACACTATAAGGAAACAAATCCATTATTGTGGGGAGCTTAGACAAACCCACTAATATCCAAAACCATACTTTCTCATTATTGTGTTTCTTATGTAATATTCTAATAATCTTACGCAATATTTCTTATATAATATGTACATATTATTATTTGTATTACAATACATACTCATAATAAATTTATTCAATATTACTCAAAGATAATCTGAACTCATTAATATGTTTTAGGCCTATTTATGTACAGTTTTAAAATACCTCTGCAATGTTACTTTATGATATGCAAAGAAATCTGTGGTCACTTGATAAGAGAGTTCTTTAAAATGGAAGACATAAACTAAACAGGAAATTTAACTATTAATTCCTTAAACACAATCACAGTGCCAACATAAGACATCTTTTTTTCTAAGTTTAAGCTCATTAATTCTTGTCCCTTTATAATTGTTACCTGTAAGATAATAAGGTAAGAGGCAGCTGTGTCCAAATCCTGAGCCATCAAACATTCCTCAAATAAGTCCTTGGGGTTTCCAACAGCTGCAAAAAGGTAATTCCACAGGGCATATTCAGTCTTCCTGGCACAATGGACAACTGTCTGCAGGAAGAGGGGGAACTCAGTGATAAATTTTGCCACAGTGGGAAGCAGAGGGTCGGGAATGGGCTCCCGTGAGGTAGCTTCTTCTTCCAGCACTTCATGGAGCATGAGCTCCAGCACATGAGGAAAGTAAGGTAATCCAGCACAGGACTGGGCCAAAAGCAAGGCTTGCTCCCCAAGGTTCCTGACCAGAAGCTGACGTAGAATGTGGTGGAGGTAGATCTGAGAGGTTCTCTCCACAACACAGAAAGGGAAGAGCACCTCCAGCTGTTCCCTAGCACTGTTCCGAGTATACAAAGAATCATAGAGTAAAGTGTCATTGACAGCACCAAGGACTAATGCATCTTCAAACAGAACAGCCAGGGGGTAAATATTGATGTGGAAAGGCAGCATGATCCGCTGGGACAAGAAGGAATGGGGCTTGCGGTGATCCCTAGGGAAGAGAGGGAGCCAAACTTTCATCCCTGCACCACCACAGCTCAGCCAGAGGGCCTCCAGAAGGTGACGTTTTTGTTTATTTGCTCGACACGTTGTCCAAACATTTTCAACAGACTGAGCTAGTACCACAGGAGGACAAAATGGCAGCTGGAGAAAGAGAGACAAGATTAGATTTTTTTTCCTATTAAATTTGTAGTTCTTAAGTTCCTACTAAGTCTTTCAAAATGATAGTATGACAATTTTGGGGGAAATGTGTGTGTGTGGGGGCGGTGTCTATTTAAAATTAGAGTTAATAATAGTATCCTGCCTTTTATATACAATTAAATCTAAAAACAAAAACAAAACCCCTTGAAATTGACCAATCTATCCTTAGTTTCCCATTAGAATTTGCAACTAATAATGCCTAACTAATAAGCAGTAACATCTGAAGTATGGAACATTTTATTATCATTTCAGGACCTCATCCTTTACCCTTCACAAACAGTCTTATACTCAACAGCTTAAGACTAATTTTATGTGCTTTCTCAGTTTCCAAGTCACAAGACAATACTTTCCTCTTAAATTCTTTTATTCCTGCAAACTAATCCCTTCTTAATGTTAGAAATGACTTGTACTTTACTTACAAGTTTCCTCTGATTAGGGTTACTGTCCTTCTCCCGGATCTGAGGGCCTGACCTGTCCCTCTGCATCATGATGAGCTGCTCCTCTTAAATTCTTTTATTCCTGCAAGCTAATCCCTTCTTAATGTTAGAAATGACTTGTACTTTACTTACAAGTTTCCTCTGATTGGGGTTACTGTCCTTCTCCCGGATCTGAGGGCCTGACCTGTCCCTCTGCATCATGATGAGCTGTCCTGCAAGGTTTAGCATAATGCTCTCTGCGTCACGAGCCTGCAATTTCAGAAAAAGAAATTGGATTCGTACTAATTTATAGGTATGTTTTTGGCAATTTCCACTCCCTCCCAAATCCATAAGGTTTACAGGTTAAACAATCATCAATATTTATTGAGGTGGTACTATGTCTAGCCATTCTGCTAGGCTTTATAGGAATACAAGGGGAGCTTTTGGGCTAGAGTGAAACAAAGCTTAACACATAATGCAATTAATGAACAATACAAGTGAACATAAAATTAGGGGCAGAGCTGAATCATCCTGGAAAAACTAAGCAAAATTCAGAAGTTCATAAAAATGAGAGATCATTTTAGTGATCTAGCTGGCATAGCTAGAGAAGGTTTAATGGATGAGGTGGGACTTGAAAGATAAGAATACACATGGGTAGAAAGGAAAGGGTTGGTACTGTAGTTGAAGAGGGCTTAGAAAGCCAGGTGAAAGAGTGGCAGGAAATCAGCCACTACTTATGGTTCTTGAATAAGGAAGCTATTAAAAAATCTGAGTTAATCAGGATGGATTACTGGGGAGAGGCAGACATCATGGGTGTTGACTTTAAGAATGAGGAAATAGTGTGCCTTTTTATTATAGAAAATTTCAATCAAACTCCAGAGTAGAAAGCCTAGAATAATGATGTCCTATTGAGCACTATCACCCAGCTTAAACAATTACGCACATTAAAGTTTGAGAAGCACTGTTTTAAAGCAAATCCTGGATATAAATAAAGTCATTTTCACCTGTAAAGAGGAAGAGCATATTGACTAAAAAAAAAAAAAAAAATTTACTGCTGTGCTTATCCTAGACATGTAAGGCAGAAAAAGAGAGCTGAACGAAAGATGATGATTTGAAGGTATCAAATCTAGGTGAAGTGCTAGAAAAACTAAGGTTATCACATAGAAATTAGAAAAAGAAATTAGGTAAAGGAAAACCAAAGAATTTCTTTTCTTTTTTTTCTATTAAATATAAAAAAATCTTAAGATTTTCAATCTTAAAAATGTTAAGAGTGATGACCAGAGATGAATATGCCATCATAAGCATAAAGGAAGGTTGGTAAACAGAAAAATAGATGAGTTTTCTGAGGCACAGTATACACAGAGAAAAGAGTATACTGGGCCATCAACTGAGCTTCTGAAGGTAAGAAGAGAAATGGGGAAGTACAATCAGAAACCAAAGAAGAATTTCTGAAAGGAAAGAATGACTATTTGGAAGATGTGGGATTATTTCCCAGGTTTTTTTTTTTTTTGTCCTTTTTGAGACTGGCCACACCGCACTCAGCCAGTGAGCGCTATGAGCGCACCGGTCATCCCTATATAGGATCCGAACCCGCGGCAGGAGCGATGCTGCGCTCCCAGCGCCGCACTCTCCCGAGTGCGCCACGGGCTCGGCCCTATTTCCCAGGTTTTGATGCTTGTTGGCTCAATTGAAGCTCCCAGTGTCATTTAGGGCTCATTCAGGAAAAGAGCAGCCACCCTATACATTCTAGTTGCAAAATAGTTATACAAAATACTCTTGCTTATTACTGTTTTCAGATTCTACAAGGGGTTGTGTATAAAGAAATGGCAAAACTAAACATTTGATAACCAATGAGAAAAAGCCAATAACTTGGAGGTATGAAAAGGAAAATGGAATTTAAAAAATCTGTGGGAACTATGTTAAGAGTCTGACACTCAGATAATCATAAAATGTACCTAGATGGCAGAAGAAAACAAATATGCGAATGCATGAATCAGAAAAATAGGATTGTACCAGCATAGCCACCAAAATAAACAAAAACAGTAGGACTGTCTAGGAATTGGCATAAGGACAAACTCCTCAAATACTTCAACAGACCTTAAGAGCATTTACTGCAATTCACCACAATATGACTAACGTTCACAATGACCACCCTAAGTTTTAAGATGGTAGATTTCACCACTACATTTCACAGTACATTTCATTAAAAAAAAATACACTTTTCTTCAATGAGTGGGTATTATTAATACCTACTCATTCAACATTATCTGTTGAATACATACAGGTGACTGCAACAGCTCTCTCAGGCAATTTTAATAAAGTTTTCAGAAAAAGCAGGGGCTACCTAATATGCTCAAAATCCTAAATGTGAAGGAAACCAAAACACCATCTCTTACCCTAGAAAATCCCTGGCAGATGATTCTCCTTGGGAGTTTTAGGAACAAGGAACTCACTCTCTCATGAGAGAGGCTATTTTACTATTGAACACTTCTCATTGTTACTATTTTTAAAAATCTTTAATATTAAGTCAAGATTCGCTTTGCTGTAGTATTCTTGGTCATCCCTCTGTACCAGATGTAATCAATTTCCTATTATATTTCAACTTACTTCTTAATCTGTTCTTTGCCAAGCTAAACATCTCTTTGTGAAAGGCCCTCTCATGGGATACCCAGTACTAGTAATGCCACTGATTGCCTACTATATCTGGGATATACAAAGAATCCCTTTTTATACTAATATGAAAACTTCAAAGACAATAAAAAGTATGGAAAATAATACAATAAATCACCATATTCCCATCCTCCAGATTCACAAATACCAAGATTTTGCCACAATTGCTCCATCTATTCCTTATTTCTTTTTTAAAATTTTGCCAAACTGTTTAAAAGTAATATATCATGTCATTTTACCTCTATATGCATTCCTAAAATATATGGACATTTGTTTATGTAACCACAATGCTAATATTGCATCTAATAAAATTTGCAATTATTCCTTGGTGTTATCTCTCAATTAATATTTAAATATCCCTTACTATTTCAACAGTATCTTTTCATAGCTGGTTTAAATGAGGATACAAATGACTTGCTTCTGTGCATCTAATAAAATTTGCAATTATTCCTTGGTGTTATCTCTCAATTAATATTTAAATATCCCTGACTATTTCAACAGTATCTTTTCATAGCTGGTTTAAATGAGGATACAAATGACTTGCTTCTGTAGTGTAGTGATCACATTAGCCTCACAAAGGAGCTTAGTCACTGCTTTTGGTTGTTATGGCTCTGAATGCCTTCTTTAATCTACAAGAGCCTCTCCTTTTTCCCCCGTGTGATTGACTTGTAGCTGTCCTATAGAATGTCCCGCATTCTGCTTCCTTGTGGTGTAAATCAGACTAAACTTCTATTTCCTGTGAATGGAAGATGACTCCAGATGCTTGATTTGATTTAGGTTCAATGTTTTTGGCATTAATTCTTCACGTGAACTTCATGTTACATCACCTCAAGAAGCATATGACATCCGGTTTTCCCATTTTTAGTCATGCTAAGATTGATGATTAATAAGGCTTGCATGTGACAACCTGATCCCTTCATTGTAATGTTTCATCAGTAATGATCACTACCTGAATCAGTTATTTTCTCAGGGCTGCAAAATGGTGATTCCGTAATTCTCACATTCATTCCACATTTTTTAGCTAGAATTTGTCTACAAAGCAGAACTTTCCCTTATCAACTAGGACTACGTGGTTTCATGAAATACAGTTTACAGAGGAAATGGGAGCTATATTTTAAAGGAGAAAAAAAATTACAAGTTTATCTACAAAAGGGACACCAAGATGGCTAAGAAGTCTAGAACAAATATCATGAGACAGTTGGAGATACGGTAATATTCAGCATGCAGATGAAAAGACATAAGAAAAGTATGGGGAGAGAAGGGGAAGCTAAAGAATGATAACTGTCTGCAAATATTTTCAGGGTCTTCATGTGAAGAGGGAGTAGCTTTTATTATTTCCTGTTCCAAAGAATAGAGAACTGAAATAGACTGTTACAATTCAGATTTTAGATCCACACAAATAAAAGCTTGTAACAATTATAACTGCAGTGGAAGAGGCTCTCTAATGAAGCAGCTGAATTCTCCAGAACTGGAGAGTCTAGTGCATTGTTTTCTTTTTTTTTTTCTTTTGTCTTTTTCCGTGTCCGGCAACGGATCGCAACCCTCAGTGTTGCCCCCGTACCGGACCGGGGGGAGAGAAGGGGAAGCTAAAGAATGATAACTGTCTGCAAATATTTTCAGGGTCTTCATGTGAAGAGGGAGTAGCTTTTATTATTTCCTGTTCCAAAGAATAGAGAACTGAAATAGACTGTTACAATTCAGATTTTAGATCCACACAAATAAAAGCTTGTAACAATTATAACTGCAGTGGAAGAGGCTCTCTAATGAAGCAGCTGAATTCTCCAGAACTGGAGAGTCTAGTGCATTGTTTTCTAAATATTTTATGAAATGTTGAGGTTTAATGGAAGTGCCTCAATAGGATGTAAAAGACAGACTGGGCAATCAGGGACGACAAATAAATCTTCACAGAATTTTCCTTTGACAACAGGTTTCCAGTTGACATAAACTTTGGAAACTGTTATATATTGGAAGAAGCCCTGGAAGTTATGCACCCTGGGTCCTGGTTGCATCACTGCATACACAGTTACATCACCCAGAAACTATGCGGTTACATCTTCTTTCCTTATAATTAACTAATCTTGGAGTCCTCTATGTTCTATATTCTTTCTCCTTTCTCACTGCCCAAGTTCAGGCCACAAACACCATTCACTTAGATCATTACAATGGCCTCCCAACTGTTCTCCTTAGATCCAGATTTGTCTCACTCCAGTTCATTTTCCTCCTTAAACATTATAAAGCTTAGATCTAATAATACCCACCTTAAAACACTTCAGACTTGAAGTTAAAATTATCAGCATTACCTGTAAGACTCTTAATTTGTCACACTCCATGTTTCAGTCAACTCTAAAGTTTTTAGAATCCCCTGAATGAATTCTTTCTTGTCTATGGGGCTTTATATTACTGTTCCCTCTGCCTGAAGTTCCCCCTTTTTACTTACTCTCTACTTGTTCTCCAGGTTTCAGTCTAAATGGTACAGAAATCTTCTCTGTTCGGACCACACCATGTTTTTGTTATAAGCTCTCACAGTGATCTATACCACTTTTTGGTACACACATCACAGGAACAATTAATTATGTAATTGTCTGTTTAATGTCTGAGCAGAAGACATGTCTGTTCAGTTTGCCACTGCAACCCAGCATCTTCCTACAAGGTACATTCTACACACTTACTATTTATTTGCTGAACAAATAAATAGTTGCTAGTACCAACTTAAAACACTAAACACTGAGATGTAAACTCCCAAGAGCTCTGATAATGAAATGATACCTGCTGTGGCATTTTCAAGGTGATTCCATTCTCTGTACTCACTGATGTCAGAGTGACAGATACTACCAGGAAAGGGTGAGGAATGTAGCGTGACATGGAGACCTCCTGAAGAACTTGAATACCAGCAGTAGTATTTGGACTGTCAAAAAAAGAAACCCACATACCTCAACGACATTGTTAAAAAGGTGTTTTTTGTTTTTTTTTCCCCTTTTCTGCTACTAATAGTATTAGATTTCATGATTATGGAAGACCCAAATGTTTTCTACTTATCATCCTCTCCTCCCCAAATATCCTTCAATCAGGAGACTGACAAAGTTGAGAGATCAAAAGAACACATACAGGGATGAGAGGGAAAGGGAGTAAGATGTAGGAGGGAAGAAAAAAACTAAGATAGAAGCTCTAAAAATAGAAATGTTTAAGAAAAAAAAATAAAAAGAAAAAACCCCTAACTCCCCCCCAAAAACCAGTTGGTTGAGAAAGGATGAAGGTTCAATCACTAAGGCTAGTAAGATGTCTTAATTTTTATCTTTTCATTACTCCCCAACCACTGTGCTACTTCAGCAAATACATAACAAACAAAATCTCTGAGAAAAAAATAGAACTGAAGAGGTGTGGTCTAAATGCTGCAAGCTGACCAGATGCCAAGAATATAAAGCAACATACAGCAGCATCAAGACTGCCAGTTTTGCCTGTCCCAAACTATAGGTATCTAGCTCAGAGGAAATATAAGCAAGTCCGCTAAGGACGCGCTTCCTAAGGCTTTAACGCTGTGGAATTCCTTCAAATTTCCCCAAGTGTGTGGAACATTAGGATAGTTAGTAACCACTCACTTTGAAGGTTGTGAAAAAAATTCAGTATCTAAGGGTTTTACCTCATCCCAAACTACATTTTTCAAATGAATCTAAGATTAGCTGAAAAACAGGTAAGTGGGCTATTTCTTTTTTCACAGCTACTATATGAATATCACTAATGCAAACACCTTGCTTTTTCACTTCTTAAAAAAAACAACAACAAAAAAACCCTAAATATAAAGTAGAATAACTGTATTGAGAAAATAAACACCACAGAGGAAACATGAAAAATAGGAGCAAAAAGTGACTTGTCATATGCCATAAACTTACCCATCAGATTTTCTTTCAATACTATAAAGGCATATTGAACAGTCTGCTCTAAATACTATTATCATGTCCCGGAAGACACTAAGCAGTAATGTTTCTGCTTGTGCTTTGGTGACATGAGCAAAGGCGTTGTCCAGATTTGATGTTCGCAAGTATACTCTGAGCTGAAGAAAACAAAAATAAAAAAATTATAAAAACAAGATGACTACCAGAGATGACTAAATACTTTAGACATGCTGCTTTTTATCTACTGAATTTTTTTTCAAGTAACAGTAGTTGAAAGACCTATCTAAGCTTTAACAATGGATTACGTTTACATTTTGACAGACTAGACTCATTCTACAAATAACCAAAATGAAGTGATCAAATCGGTGAATGCACTGTTATGAGATATTCCTTTTAGACTTGCATAGTTAAACCTCACCTAATGAGACTGGCAGTTTCTCAAAACAAACAAAAAACCACATAAATCAATAATTTAATAAATCTATCTCTGAGGACAGCCATTTTTATATTAAACTTTTTTGCTTTTAACTATTTTTTATTATTTTCAAATTTATAGAGAATGTCTAATGGCTAAAATCCTTAGAAGAGGTTATCTTAAAAGTCCCAATTGTCACTTTAAAAAATTTTAAAATATACTAGTAACCTGAAAACCCCATTAGCTAAAAAATGCTAATTCTTGATTTAAAAAATAAAATGTTTTCTTCAGTTTAAACTAGACTATTTTCTATATAAAATAAAATACTGCTTAATAGCTTTAAAATATGAAAATCTGTTATTTCTGAGAGGAAAAAAAACTTACCTCTTCTTGATGGTCACTTAGGTTATAACATGCAAGGACCATAAAATCATTCCACCAGGCTAAGCCACCTGTTACAATCATATTTTGCTCCTTAAAAGAAAAAAAATGTTTACCTTAATTATGTTACCTAAAATTATAAGAAAGTAATACATTTACAAAATAGCAGGCAATAAAAGTTCAAATTATTTCTGTTCTCCTCTCTCTCCCACCAGTTATTACTCTAGGGTCTTTATTAATAACAATTCATATCCTATTTTTAAAAATAAATATTTCTGCAAGGAAGCAAATACATCATTCAGAATAATTGGGTACCATATAATATCATTATTCCCTCGACCATCAGATGTTGGTTTAAATTCTGGCTTTATCATTTATCAGATGAGTGAATCCTAGCTTCTCTTTTATCAAATGGTGAGTGACAATAGTGCCCTCACTGGGTTGTTTTAAAGATTAATAAGATAACATACATGAAAGTAACAAAGTGTGTGATACACAATAGTAACCTATTAAATGGTAATTTCCCTCTCTTTTCCTTGTATTTGATTCTTGCAAAATCCAACTGCATATATATGAGGGGTCTTCAAAAAGTTCATGGAAAGATTCATGTATCTTTTATTCTATTTTTCCATGAACTTTTTGAAGTATACTTGTATACACTGTATGCTACACAAAAATATATGTCATATACAGACAAGTAGAGAATGATCTCAAATTTTGTGGAAATTTATTCTGATCACATCTGATGATCTCAACCTGAAATGTAAGAGTAAATCCTCAAGCTAAAGAATTATAGTTAATGTTCTTAACAAGAATTAAAAACCCACTATTTCTTTCGATCTATCTATCTATCTATCTATCTATCTATCTATCTATCTATCTATCTATCTACCTATCTATTTATTTTCCCCCAATATACAACGTGGTTGATTATTGTTGCCCATTACCGAAACCTCCCTCCCTCCTCCCCACCCCCTCCCACCCAACAATGTCCTTTCTGAAAAACCCACTATTTCAACACAAGATTCCTTATCAAATACCAAGTACTTTATCAGAATTGACAGATATTTTCCAACATCACTTTTTAATATTTGATTTTATTTTTGTAAGTAAACAATGGTTTACTTTATAGTTATTTCTTATTGTAGTTCTCTTATACTTTGAGAAATAGGATTTTAATTTCAAAAAGACTAACCTGGGTAATGTTTCCAAAAAGTTTCCATTTCTTCGTGAGTAAAGAGTAATGCGCAAAACCAAACTTGCCAACCACAGCAATATTCTGTCCAAGCTTATCAATAGCTGAAAACTGTTTAAAAAAAAAAAATTAAGAACTCTTCCCTGGAGAAGTTTATACCTATAAACTTTATTAGGTATAAAGAGCTTGGTAATGTGTCAGGCAAACAGACTATTAATAAATGTTTCCTAAGTGAATTAAATATAAAATGCTGAATTTTATAATCCAAATATTTATAGTTTATATAATTATATTTATATGACAAAATTATAGATGTTAACACACTAGCAATGCACAATGAATCAAGTATTAAAATTTTAATTCTCAGAATGCCTCCTGCAGCAAATGCTATCTAACAAAAGTTAACACCAACAAAATAGCAACTCACCCGTATAGGCCAATTGCTCTCTAGATAGGTGCTGGAAATCTATAGAAAATAACACATCAGTTTGGCAAGACTTATGAAATATATTTAAAGTTAAAGCATTAAATTATCACAATATGAGATTCATCTTCCTGTAAACGTTTAAGGTGCCCCCAAATAAAGGGGTATTAGTAGCAAAGCACTTGGAATTTACCATTTGTATATGAGCCAAAATTTCACATCTTACGTCTTAACCATTTCAAGTTTCCGGACATCAGATTTTCCTTTTTTCCTCCACAATGTTTTTGTTTGTTTTAAATACTGAACTCAATAAATACACACGCAAGAGATATTTAGAGAAGCACCCATGAGGGCAGCCATAAATTATGGAGATGAATAGTTTGGGTTGCTGATGTGAAACATCCCAAAAGAAACTTACGTAATAAAATTATAGCCTCAGCAAGAGTTTTGGTTTTTAATGAAAATATTTTTATTACTTTCATATCTTTTTGATCAATAAAAGCAATGCTTATAAAATTAAACAATATAAAAGCGTGTAAGTAAAATGAAATTTTCCCTGTTGCTCAGGGATAACCACTTAAGCTTTTATTCTGTCTCTCTAAACAAACATCCATAAATATGTAAGTGTGTATAAGCTACTATTTTTGGGGGGGTGTTCAACTTATTCACCTACAAGAACTCTTAATATATTACATATATTAACTCTTAATATGTGGTAAATATATTTTCCCAAGTTGTCTGTCTTACATCTTTGTTTATATCACCCTAACAAAACTTTTAAACTTAATCCTCTATAGGATATCAATATAGATTAAGTAAATGCTAGCCTTATTGAGACTGTGATCTCTCTACAAGCCTAATAACTCAACAGTTTTCATGAGCATGTCGTGGGAGCAGAGTGAGAATTAACAGAATAACAGAACAAAGAAAGAGTCTTTTGTTCCTGGAATGAGAAAAGCTTTGGTTTTATTCAAACTTATTTTCATTTTACTCAAAGAAAAATTATCACATATTTAAAAAAAGAAAGCCAGATTAAAAAGCTGAGTTGCAATCAAATCTATTGATTATTTGTGTAATGTGAAAATAAAACAAAAGTCAACTAAAAGCAATATGCTGAAAACATCTGTATTAACCTTGAAAGTTTATTCATAAAGCTATTTGTTAGATTTCATTTATTTTCTAGTAAGTCAATTTAAAATCCAGCTACATTAATAGCTTTTAGTACATTAGGAAGTTCTTAACTCCAGTGCTGGCTTGTGTAAGCCTACCTTAAAGAATTAAAGATAACAGCGTAATGATAATATGCTTGAAGAATGTTTAACTTGAATCTTAACAGATATGCTGTTATCATTCAGGTCAATTAATAAAACTCACCATGATGAGTAAATTAGTTCAGAATAACAGTAAACTTGAGGTAATAATTGGGTGGTAAAATAATAGTCTTCTAGGAGGCTGTAAGTGAAATTATTATTATTGTTATTTTGGATTAGGAAAAGCAAAAAAGTCACTTGAAGAATGTACCTGAGTATAATTGCACCAGCCACCTATGACACTAAAAGGAATCCTCACCTCCCCCTAACCTTGGTGTTTCATTAGTATTTATAAAATACATGTGGATGGGTAATATGGAAGCTGGAATCTCATTGCAAAAATGGATTCCAACATGAAGAGTTCCTAATCATGAGAACCAAAGTTAAATCTTGTCAATTGTTCACACTCTGATGAATATCTATATGAGAGAATTTATTTTTTAACCTGAAAAAGTCTATGAAGTGCCACAAATTGCAAATTGTTTATTTTCAAAACTCAAGATGTAAGTTTAAAATGAAGCTTTATTTTTCATGCATTTTTGTGTCTGAAGATGTTATGAAATAGACACTGGAACAAAAACTTGTATTTTCCCCATAGGTCTCCTTTATTGATCAATGTGTCATCTGAACTCTGAGCTTTACCCCTAATACTGAGAGCAGAAAATGGCAGAAGTAAGGAAAGACACAGCTAATGAATAATGAAGAAACTCAGGTCATGAGTGTATACTCAAGGCACAAAAGTCATGCCACATCACTGGAAAACTGAGTGCTAAGGTACAGAATCTTTACCCTTCTTATCTCAGGATTTTTCAGTCTCTCTTAATGACTCTCAATCTACTTTTAAAAAAAATTTTTACAAGTCATTCTGCCAAAACCCTGTCTCCTGGCTAGACAAGTTTTGTCTGTAACTGTTGAGATTGTGGAAGCTGTCCTCCTAGCAGATTTGATCTGTTCCAAATACCACACCTGATATATGTGACACACAGTATAGGATGAGAACATATCATTATAAGTAAAATAGCCTTTAAAGTCCTCTCTGTTGACATTCCTAACTTAGTGCCCAATACACCGCAGGTGCTTATCTCCACATTTTGTGAAGCTTATTGTTTCCAAATAGCCAGGTTAACTATAAAACCAACACCTTCAGAACACTGAATAATGATGATTTATGCACCTTTCAGAAATAAATGTTTACATCATACAAAATACTGAACATTAAAATAAATGGCAGCCTGAGAAGGTACACAGCCTAAACCTAGAAGGTTTTGTTTGTTTTTTAATTTCACATTGTGCTCCATCTATCAATAAACTATTTCCAAAATTTAAAAAATTTGTAGCTAGGAAAATTAAAGAAAGGAAAAAGCACAGTCTTTACCACCAGCTACTAGACCTGCTTCTGACAAGTATGTATTTGTTTTGCTTTAATGAAAGGAAAACAAAATTAACATACACTCTTCTAATCTGGAAGCTAAGGAATGTAAGGTAGAAAGGCTTAAACAAACAAAACGTCTAGTACTCTAGATGAGGAACTGAAAGAGCAGAATTAGTTGGAGCACATTAGATAAACTCTAAGCTATATAAGAATCATACAAAGTATAAATCACACAAACAGATTCTGATGGAGGATGTGGTCACTTATCTTAGAAAAGAGGGTATTTGAAGGGGGAATTAAAACCAGGCACCCACGTTTCTTCAGGGAGCCATCATTAATGGCTAAAAAGCCTGGAAGGTAAAGCTTCAGCATAACATAGACACTGTAAACCACTCTACTGAAACACTGCCACCACACTGCATTGAATCACGTGGCTGCAAACAAAGTGCCAGCAAACAAAGTGTAGGGCAACTCCAAGTAGAAATACTGCCAAATAGGCAAATTCTAAGTTTCAGCTCAAGGTCAGTAGTATCTTTCTAAATATCTTTAGTTATCTAAAGAACAGAATGACAGAAGAGTTTTGCTACCTAAAGTCCTAAAATCAGCCCTAAAATTCTTATATGGGTGCTTCATAGAAGTCTAAGAATTACAGAATCACTGAATTTTTGAGCTGGAAGGAAATTCAATTTTTGTTATTGCCTGATGGATTTTTGAGTTCCAGACCTACCTTCTTTGATCCTCTGCTCTACTTGGCTCTCTGGTAACACAGACCTGGCTAGGCAGGACTGGCATTGACGCTAGGTCAGTGTAGAATGAATAGTTCAAAGTATGGGGAAATGAAAATAGTAGAGAAATGGCTATAGGAGAGAAGGGAGCAGTGGAAAATTTTAGTCAAGTAAGTAGCTGATGCAGTTTTATTTAAAAATTGTTACTAATTATAAAATGGCATGTATGTTGTTTGATTCTATGTATTTATTAATATGTTAAATACATTTTCTTTTAGTGTATACCACGTCAATATAGGAGATATTCCTTCAATTTTTCACATAATGACAATTTTTCTGTCTTCCATTACCTCCACTCAAAGTCAACCAAAAACCACACGGGAGCTGAAGTATGCTAGTAAAGTAAAAATAAAGAGAGTAGAAGTAAGGCAAAGAATTGTGGAGATAGAAACTAAAAGAAACTAATCCAAGAGTAGGCTCTGATATACCTAAAACAGTTTTGTATCAAAGGGAGAAGGAAAACACTCAAGACTTTGAAACTATGTAAGCAAGTTTAAGAAACTTCAACTTCTTGATTTTCCCAAACTAATTTTAATAGGTATCAAGATTCAGAACTAATTTCCATGTTAAATGCCAATTTATCAGAATTACTAAAAGAAACTGCTAATTTAAACGTGATATTAGAATGAGTAAACCAGAGCAAGATTAAATAATAATACTCTTATTAACAAAAAAGTTCTAGACTGATCACAAGTCAGAAATTTGGGTCCAAAGTCAGGTGATTGACCTTAGTGTGGTCCCATCAGGACTATATTGCACAGGGTGCTAGCTGATATTACCACTTTCCATGCCTATGTAAATCCATGGAGCAAGATTTATACAAATAAGAAAGAGGCTGAAAGTAAAATAAACAGTTATCTTCAATGAGAGGATAAAACATAACTTCTAGTTCTTGACACTACCAACAGACTTGATACAGATGGAGAGACTTTCTACATCAAGTGAATAGAAGAGGAAAAGAACACAGAAAAGCAAAAGAGAGATGTGACAGTCAAAAAGGTTAAGAAGATTCTGTTTTCTGAAATAAGAGATGAAATATTTAAACATCTGTTTCAGGTGATATGTTATCAAGGGCTAAGTCACTACTAATCAGTATATGAAGACTTACCTGTACAACATGCCAATGCCGATGTCCAAGTAAAGTGCTTAAACCCTGAGACTCTAAACCTCCATCTGCAAATGGGCTCTTTTCCCGACTGGGCTTATACTCAGAGTGTGCTGAAGAACTCCTAGGATTCTGGGTTTGTGAGGCCTCTCCACAGTTCAAGTACAAACGATCCTCTCCCTGAAGCAACACCTGTTCCTGACTATTCTAAAAGAGGGAAAGAGAAAAAAAGGGGGCAAAGGAGGAAAGCAAATAAAAATAACTCAATATTAGGTAGGGGAAAGTAAGTAATACAGTTGATCATTGACCTCCCTCGCAAATCTGCATATAACTTCCCCTGAGTTGTTACTTAAGTAATTAAGTACTTAAGGAGTTGGCCCTATGGAGCCCACACATATGAAAAGCCATCTATTTACAGGGTTCCACATGAGTGGACCCATGCAGTTCAAACATGTGTTGCTCAAGGATCAACTGTACACTGATTTAGTTTCATAACAGAAAATGTACCACATATCTCAATAAGGATTTTCTTCAAAGAAGGACTACATAATGATTTCATGCACTATTTAGAGAGAGCAAGCAATATTAATGATTACTTCTCAGTGCAAATAAAATCTTTGTTGAAGTATATTTTATCATATGGTTGTAATCATGCCCAGGTTTATGACTGCTATAGTAGTATCTTTCATTACTACTCCAAAATGGCAATGCTATGGGAGATTTTTCCATCTGAAAAACTGGATATAAGTACCACTGTTTACCGTTTATGAATTTGTTTCACAAACAGTAAGACATGTCTCGTCAGAGTTTGTGTATGCTCACCCATGTACCCACATGGCAAGAGGAGGGAGTGGATTAGGAATGGGGATAACTGGATGCTGGAGAATCTTCTAAGCCACAGAGGAGGAGGAAGAGAAGCCTAAGTCGGTAGTTCTGGTTCAGAACAATTCAATAATCACTTGGTGAATGCTTGGTTAATGCCAAGGACTGTCCCAGGTTCTCAGGATATCCAGACAAATGAGAGAGTTTCTGCCCTGGTTTTCAGTTAGGCCAGTCTTCTCAAAGGTAGGCAGAATATTAACTATTCAAATCAAACAGAGTGGAACTGTACCTGCTCCCTTTCCATTTTAGTCCAAATGCTGTTTTGACATCAAACTCAAGGGTGCTTTAAAATTATTATTTGGGATGGGGGAGGGAAGAAAGAAATACCTTATTCTCATTTTTCTGGGGATCCTTAATATTCAACTGCAGTAAAGGGATCTGAGATCCAGACTATTTTCACATTCCTTCTCAATGTGTTGTAAGTTTTAATTAAAAACTTATTACACCAAATATCCATTAAAAAGCCACTGATGGTAGGTATTAAGATATGTACTTATCTTAATTATTAAAAATGTATTACATACTGACAATATATAATAGTAATATACATATTTCAATATACATTACTTTTATATATTATATTGATAAACATGAAGAGTTTATATTATAATTTTGGGGCACTGTTTCCTCAATAGGTTCCTAGACAAGGTGTTCCTTAAAATTCATAGTTAAATAAGTGTGGGAAACATTGGCTTTTATACAGCAACTCCTGGATTTTCATCAGCATATTTAAAACTCTAGAGTCCTACAATAAAGAATTCTCTACAGCTTTAACTCCTTTATTTCATACTTAACATGAAAACAGAATTTTATCCTATATACTGTTACTAATATCTTTCATAAGTAGTGCCTGGTGGAACATACTTTGTAGAATGTTATTCACATAAAGACTAAAAAAAAAAAAAAAAAAAAAGAAAGTAGACCCCCTTCCTTGGGCAGTCCCACCCCAGGGCTTCCCAAAAGTAAACTAGATAAAGATTAAAATTTTCAAGTTATCCAAGTAAATATGTAAACACTGCTTTCCCTCAAATTTCTTGTGGCCCTATGAAAAACAACAAAACAACAAAATCTGTTCAGAAATAAAATTCTGGTATTTACTTAATGTAAACTAAAAAGAAACACAAGAATCTTAGAAAATACACAAAAGATGACAGTGTGCCAATTTTAGGAGTATACTCACATACATGAGGGGTCTTCAAAAAGTTCATGGGAAGATTTGTGTTACCTTTTAATTCCACTTTTCCATAAACTTTTTGAAGTATCCTCATATGTCTCATAAGGAAAGGTCTGAAATTCTAATATGAAAGACATTTAAAACAAACAAACAAACAAACCAAAAAAAAGCCCCAGAGGTTTAAATACACTTACCATGCAAGGATTTACAGTGAGTACACTTTTGATAAACTGAAATAACAGAATGCTAGGTTGTTTAACTATACTCCTGAGGTCAGATCCAACTGAGATGTTTTGAGAATCGAATCCACTGATTACCCATAGGTGATAGCCTTCTGCACCCCAGCTCTTGGAGGGAGGAAGAGAGAGAAAAAAGTCAAAGCCATAAAAAGTTGTTGTTAACCTTCCCTAGCTTGAAGAATTAAATTCTGAAATAACCAATGATAGCATTATTAATGACTTCTGAAGGTTGGAAAAAACTGTGACAAACAACACAGATAAAAGTCACACCTTCCATTACATTTTAGCAATCTCTAGAGGAAACAATCATCATTGCTCTGTATCTAGAATAGTGAAAACACTACAACCATTCTTAGCTCCAATTTCAAGATCTCAATCCTAAGAAACACATACTGCTCTCTGTAACTTCTCCATTAATTTAGCTGCCTCTCAAACACAAAGAAATTACTTATAGAAGACAACCGAGGTCATGTAGTAGAAGCTTAGCAAAGAAGCATCTATAACAGCTGTGGTTTTGCACAGAGCAGTGAATACTGGATTGGAATCTGTGAGACTAGAGCTTCGTTACAGCTTGGATTTTTGTTATATTACCTTCACCAAGCTGTGTGGTTTCTCGGAGTATAAATTTCTTCCTCTGTAAAATGAGAAAGTTCAAATAAATTTCTCCCAGCCCATTCAGTTTTAATATTCTATAAACAGATTCCATAATAAAAAATTTTAAGATTAGTGATTCTCAATCTGCTAGCCAAGAAAATAATAGGGGGTCCATAAATTGTTGCAAAAGTTCAAAAGCTTAGAAGAAGTTTTAAATTTTCCCATGATAAAGTTGGATAAGCTAATTAATATGCTTAGATTCTTAGTTTGTGACTGAAATATCAACATAGTGAGTCTGATAACACTGGTTGTTGAATGCCAATTAGAAGCTGTTAATCAAAACATTTTAAAAATGGAGGTGGGAAGAAATAAAGTCTTTGGTGTGAAAGGTTGGGAACCACTATTTAAGGCAACTATGGTGGGTTTTCATTCCTAGAGAAACCCAAGATCAGAAAATGCCTTCCTCTGTGGAGCAAGAAAGAAGGGTAGTGAGTGATAAGACACATAGCCACTAATTTCACAAGGATGGTGTACACAGAGAGGCCACAGAAAGAAAATGTTTTTATGTAAAGACAGGGGTTGTATCTCATTGTTTTCTACAAGAAACTCTTGACAATAGGTAATAAATTAAAATATTATTACATCAGTGACTATAATTCTCTTGACACACATTTATGGAAAATTTAAAAAATATGCTCAAGTAATGTACAAATGCGTATCCTTCAGGTAAAATGCCCAATGAGCATTTTACTTTACGTTAAAAGAAAGGAGGCTACTACTAAATGAGAAGTGTGCCAGTATGCTTTGGAAAAAGAAAGTCCTCTCTGAACAGTCATTATCTTTACAAAGATGACAGGGGCTTGCTGGACACATCAAAATAAAACTCAAATACTTGAAATCAGGCAGCCACCCAATTAAAAAAAATAACTCCCATCAAAGCAAGAATTATATAAGAAAGAGTCCTCTGAGACTCAAATAGCTTTGTGATTTTATCAGACCAACCTGAAAAAAAAAAAAGAAGAAAAGTCCAAGTTTTTTACAGTATGCCAACTTTTTATAGAAAGTGCTTACCATAGAGTTGATTTTAAGGGGATCTTTTTTGGTACCATCAGACCTATAACTGAAGCAGAATAGAAACTTAATTTAGTACAGCCTTCTGATTATATACAATGCACATAATATTTAGCTTTAGTTTTTTAAAAATCAAATTGATTTGATCCTCCAAGACAGAAATACATAATAATGAATAAATACAAAACCATAGGCTAATACACCTAGGTACAGCTACATTTTTCCATGCCCAAGTGACTTCTTGACAGGGTCATGCAGTTTAGGAAAGTGTGCTCATTTCATCAGGACTGAGATTCAAGGTAGTATATGAAGTGTGCAGAGATATCAACCTACTCCTATCAACCCACTGGGTTAACCTACATTAATTAACCCAATGAGATAATGTAACTTTCTACTTCCTAATAGTATTTACGTAAATGGCTTACTGTTCTTTGAGATAAGCTACTTGAAAGCAGAACTATATCTGATTCAGCCTTTAATCTAACATGCTGTCATATATACAACAGGGTCCAATAAATAAACACATATTTATTGAATGAACAGTCAGCTTTAAGAGAATGGCTGTATGGAGAATAAATAAATTCTGAACAAATTAATTCTGAACCATACAAATTGTTTTGGGGTAAGAGTCAAATAAGGCAAAAACGGTAGCTCTATGACACAAGGTTTCTGTATGGATGTATTATCTGATAAAAAATGAAGTTATTTTATCTAAAATTTGTCTTTATTGACTCACGCAAAATCTCCCCCGAGTGTACAAATCAGCTGGGCTCCAAACACACTCCATAAAGAAAGGCCTCCATATTCCCAGGTTACTATTATAACACTATTGTCAGGAGACCATCTGATCAATTTAACAGCTCCTGTTTTGTTCCAAATGTCTGTTAAGAAATAGTGAGAAGAGTTAAAAATAAATGAATGCTTCAGAAATCCTTAGTATTTTTTAGTCTATATTTTCAAAACTAAATGAACAGAAAGACATGACTGCTTCAAATAATGAAATAACTCCTACTCCTTTAGGGCTATTTAAAATCAATAAGGCCATTAGTCTTGACCTGATCTAAGCAAAGCAAACTCAGTGCATAAGTGATTTATAAAAAATGAAAGCTGTTTGCCACTATTAGCTTAAATAACTACAACTGTATAATCTTAAAAGTTTTTGGCTTTGTGCAACTCAGTTTCTGTAAAATTGGGATAAGGTTGCAGCAAAAACTGTCCTTAGAGAAAAACATATGTGGGCCTTTAAAAAGGTTATACAATGAGAATGATGAAAATCTTAGCAAATTTCTATTTCTGACAGTACAGCAAATGATACCCTGAATGAGTCTCCACACTGAAACTACTAAGATGTTGAACAGAATACTCAAACACCTCAAAACAACCAAAATTTCTGAGACAAAGTGCTTTTGCTCTGCATTTTTCTGCCAAACCCTGGAGATCCTGACTTCTAGCTCTGAAGACTAACAGCATGTGAGGGACAGGAGATAAAGATCAGAGCTTGCACAAGACAGGGAATCTAACAAAAGATACCCACGTAAAAGCTGCGACTACAAAGGGCTACATTCATGGTATAAGAAGAATGAGAAAAAAACTGCTATGTAGAAGGAAAAGAAATAGCAAGGAACACTTTCATGTTCTATCCACAGAACCGAATGGAAAATAAATCTCCTCTGATAATGGGCAGCCACAAGTCAGCCCCCATCCTGATTTGTAATTTGTGTAATTAGTGTGATACAAAAAAAAATCTCAAACAGAGAATACAAGGTAAAGGGTTCCAGATTGATGTGGTACTCCCAGATGACCAGCAGAAACAAACACAAATACTCTCTGGAAGAACTCAAATGTAATCCAGGTCTCAAAGCATTCACACAAATACGAGTAAGTTTCAAGGAAGATAACCAGCCTCTCAGTCAAAAATCCTAAAACACATAAACAAACAAGTGAGAATCCAAAGAACCAAAACATAGTAGAAATAAACTCAAAAAGGCTTCAGATATTAGGATTATATAATACTGTATATTTATACAAAATAAAACAATCATGCTTTTTATAGCCAAAGAAATAAAAGATTAAAACTAAGAGCAGGATGTATACAAATTGGAAATAGAGCTAAATAAACCTTTTAGGGGCCGGCCCGGTGGCGCACTGCTACAGTGCGCCGCTTGGGAAGTGCGGCGGCGCTCCCGCCGAGGGTTCGGATCCCACATACAGACCGGTTCCTGCTCACTGGCTGAGCGAGGTGCGGGTGCAACGCCGAGGGTTGCGATCCCGTTGCCAGTCCCGGTCCGGTACGGGCACGACACTGAGGGTTGCGATCCGTTGCCGGTCACGAAAAAAAAAAAAAAGGAAAAAAAAAAAAAG